CTTTTCCAAAGTTCTAAATGGAAATTTCCTTGCTTTCAATAGGTGGCCTTTATTGTTTTGAACACCTATGTTGTTGTCCTCCTGTGTGATTTTATTAGCTGTTCTACATTTTCCTCAATTGTGATTGTTTTCCTGGGTGAATGTTTGCTTCTCCTCTTCACGTCAGTGTACAAAGTTAACTGTATGTACTGATGTAATTGAAATAATAGTATGTTAATTGAGGGCTGTTTAGTAGACTGTTTCCCGTGAAGAATCAAGAAAATAATTGGAAGCTTTATATTAGCTATTTACCAAAAAATGAACTGAAAGGCCTAATTCAGTAAAGCACATTGACATTTGTTCTAGTGCATCATGTTTATTGCTTTATTTTGTCAAGGGAGACAAATACCCAACATCCATTTTGTGTCAGCAGCAGGCAGGTACTAAATCCTCAAATATTTCAGCCTAAATGATTACTGAGAATGCACATAGCTGTAAATTTCATGGGTTATTTTAGACTATTGTAAAATATAATAGTCTATTTGAGGAATTATTTTCATTACATCTCTTTCTGTATTTTGAAATACCTTGTTTTGTGATGAATGGGAACCAAATTAATCCAATCCAAACCTTTGTATGTAATGCAGCTTTCATGCCCAGCAAAGTCAAACAAGAATGTAAATCATGGATTATTTGTAAAATGTTGCCAAGCTCATGCTGCCATATTTATAAATCAAAAGTTAAGTTTCATAATTTTTTTTTAACCAAATAACTATCTGCCAAGCACAACTCATATGTGCTTCAGATAGATTGGTGGTTATAAATTTTCTCTCCTCTTCTCTCTTTCTTAAAATTAAATATGAAGATTTTCTTCAGGGGCTCTAGGATGTTACTTGGCAGCCTGTGATAATCTGCTTCCATCTGGCCTTTCTACAGGAGAAAAGGTGATGCAGGATGATGAATTCACCTGTGACCTCTTCCGCTTCCTTCAGTTGCTTTGTGAAGGACATAATTCAGGTTTGTGAGCAGGCTGCCAATCAGCTAAGCCAAGGTGATGGAAACTAAAGATAAAAACTCTCCATTGCTGAAGGTTTGGCAGCCTTCATAAAGTATTGTGAAATGTGGAGCAGCTGCTAGGCTGTACATGAAAGGAAAATATTTTTGTGGAATTAAATTGCCAGCATTTTTAATCAGATTTAACTTTGTAGAAAATATAATGCTTTTCAAAATTATGAGTTTTGGATCTTGACCTACTAGGAAAGGTAAATTTATAATAGCAAAATGTATGTTTTGTAACTTCTAGTCAGTGAAGATTCAGAGGTATCTTTAAGGTGTGTGCGATTTGGTACTAATGTCAGAATTGTATATGAAAATGAAATTACAACAACATACACAATACCTTTCTTTAAAAAGTATCATCTGTTTTAAAAATACAAAAACAAATTAAACAAGTACATAATCCATTATGCGATTTAATTTTGCTTTTGCTTAGCAAAATATATACTAGCTGTAAATGTGTTTTTATTGATGTGGTTCTAGAGATGTAAAATTAGTCTTAAATGAGATGAAAATAAGACCAAGTTAAAATTTTACAGATGAAACATAATCAGAACTGATTTCAGGACTAGTTTTGTAAAGTCTTTAACACATAAATAAATTTAAATTAAGATTTTATTTGAATTTTTAGATTTTCAGAATTACCTGAGAACTCAGACTGGTAACAACACAACTGTTAATATTATCATTTCCACTGTGGATTACTTATTAAGAGTTCAGGTAGGTTAATTTATATACTAGTTAAGCAATGACAATAATGGTTGCAGCTATACAGTATTTACATTTTTTTAAAAAATTATTGTATTTATTTTTATCATAAGGCAGGTGTTTGTATGTGGAGACTGAATTTCCTAATTTCTCTAGAATTTCCTTCAGCAATACATGGTTTGCTACCACAAAAGTTCTGTTTACAGCAAAATCAAACTTCATCCTCGTCACAGAAGGTTCAGTTTTATCAGAGGAGTGCATTTATTTGTTGTGACATTTATTCTTGTCACTGTAGTCCATGTGGATGAGAATGGCTGTAATTCTCTACTGGTTGCAGTTCTTTGAGTTGTCATCTTGTACTATGAGAGTCAAAGGTGACAAAAGTATGAAAGACTGATTTCAGCCATTATATGTAAGAATGCAATGGAGTCTGTTAACCAAGGAGAGCATGCAGGAGATAGATACATGCTAAGTTTTTCAGTGAATACCATTAGTCAGTTGTTGACTGGGACTATGTTGTGACTGAAAAGTGTTTTGTATTGTTCAAGATTCAGCCAGCTGCTTTTTCATCCATGTTCTGATTTAATCTGAACACTGGGCTCCTGTATGGCTAGTCATGGGATGGCTTGGAGTGATGTGAAAGAACAGTGCATCATTTTCTAAGGAGATTAAAAAAAAAAAAAAAAAGGAAAAGGAAAAAAACAAGAGCAGAAGGCTAGATTAAAAACCCTTCAACCCTCTAATTTGCATTATCTCCCTAATCTTTAAATATGAAAACATTACATTGCCACAACCCAATAGAAAGTAATGAAAAAAAAAATTCTAATTTTTTTCCAGATTGGAGCATGTGAAAGACAAGAAGACATATTTTATTATAAATGTTAATAGTTTTTACTTATTATTCTAATCTTTCTGAAAATTGCTGTGCGTGAGAATATATATTGTTGTGGTTTTTTTAAATTTATCTAGTTAAGTTTTCCCATTAGCCATTTATTTATTTGGTGTGAGAATTCCAGGCTTTGAAATTTGGTGGTTTTTAAGTTGTTGCTGTTAGCTACATTACTTTTTATCCTTATGCATTCTTTAGAAGTTGTAGGGACAATGCAGTGATTTTCATTGTGTTGCATAACTTTGTTGAAGCTGTAATAAGCTCGCCTTTGGGGAAGACAGAAAGAGGACTCATGCCCAGAAAGCAGATTTGCTTACACTATTAACTAGGTGTCAAGTACACAGTAAAAAGAGAGACTGTTCAATGAACAGCATGCATTGTGGTAGTACTACTAAGTACTCCTTTTCAGAATGCAGGCGGTTGTATTTCTAAGAGGAGATACCAACAAATCTTTTTTTGTTGTTTTTTATTTTGAGGTTTGCTGCGGGGTTCTTTAATTATTTATTTCAGTTTATCTGTTTTCCTGTTGATTCCCTTGAGATGAAACTACAGCTCTTGAAGTAATGCTTGAGAATTGTTGGAGGGTCATTTAAAACGTTTATAAGCTAAATAGTTTTCAAAACTAGAATGCTATCTAATGTTGCTTTTCTTATCTTGATGAATAACTGGTTAGAGACTGTTTGATTACATCATCTCTTTGTACTTCTCACAACATTTTTTAGGAATCCATTAGTGATTTCTATTGGTATTATTCTGGGAAGGATGTTATTGATGAGCAAGGACAACGAAATTTTTCCAAAGCCATCCAGGTTGCAAAACAAGTTTTCAATACTCTTACAGAGTATATCCAGGTAAATTAATTCCATTGGGATTATATGGATTTGAAAGAAAATTCATCATACTTTGGCATGAAGATGTAAAGCAGATAGTTATAACATAGATAGAAATATAATAGAGATACATTTATGCTTCAGCATTATTTTAGTGCATTTATTTAAGTAGGAACTAAAAATTTGAAATATATAGTTGTCACTCCTCTTTTGGAATCTTAGCATTTTAGTCAAATTTACTGTTACTAATAAGTAATTGTCCTTTGACTGTATGCAAGATAGTAGAGTTTTCTCTCTCTCTCTCTTTTTTTTTTTTTTTTTTTCATTTGGCCTAGACTGCAGCAGTGTTATCCACTTTAAAACCTTCACTTTAATCCATTGAGAAACTAAGGTCAATGCAAAACATAGTTGCTATTCAGTTGCTGGGGAAAAAAAAAAATCAAGAGTGATTCTCTAATCCCTTATGCCAATTTTGCATTAACCTTCTATAAAGGTATTTCTGATTTACGGAACTGCATAGGGAAGAGTCAGCTTCAAGATTTGTACTCCTTTAGCATTTGCAGTTTGAAGTTGCAAGCAGATATGGTTTTTATGGTTCGGAGTTAGTAAATTGGGACTTGGCTAAAACAGAGGCAGAATGGTTATTAGGAACAAGCATTGCTTAGTCAGTGTTGTTATTAAATATATAATTCTATATATGTTTAGTTTTTCACAGAAGTTTCTAAAGGACATCCCCAAACTATGTACTGCCTGTATATCTTCCTGTTTTTATTGAGTTTCTGCAGATAAACTTTTCTTTTCTTTTTCTTATTTTTTTTTTGTTCCCTGAACAATAGGGACCGTGTACTGGGAATCAGCAAAGTCTGGCACACAGCAGGCTATGGGATGCGGTAGTTGGTTTTCTTCATGTATTTGCCCACATGCAGATGAAACTGTCTCAGGTATCTCTTTTTTTTTCTTTTTTTTTTCTTTTTTTTTTTTTCCCTTTTTAAGTTGCTAACTTCTTTGTAAGAGATAAACAGATTTGTTAATATGTTCGAGTCATTAATAACAACAGTTAATAGGGGAAATATGAGGACAAATAAGAGACAGAGGTAATGGAACACAATAGAGTTGAGGGAGTAAATTACAAAATTGTAGTGGGTGTGAATAGCAGGCTTGTAATTGGATTATTTGCCACAGGCACAAAGCTGATTAGATCAAGCTGCAGATGAAGCAGATATTCACCGATATTCAGAAAGAACTAACCAGTTTCTGTCTTTCATACTGAAGTTCTGTCACAGTATTTTCTGCAATTTTTCACGAGCCTTTTATGTAGGACTTGTCCTCGTTGGTGTGTCCTGCATTGAACCCTAGTTCATAATTATTGAACAGTAATTCAACACGTCTGCATCTAAGCCTTTTCTACTCTTAGTAGAGAAAGAGAGGTAACAGACCTTAGAATGGGTGAATTGCTTTTGGGTGTGAGTACTCATTTCACAAACTGTAGAAATAGTGTAGGGGACTGGCATAGGCAGCTCTTTAGCTGCCTATTCTTAAGCAGTGCATTTTTCAACTTATTACCTTTTTAAAAGAATTATATATCTTAACTGAATGCAGTGATTCTAATTTTTTTTACAGAATTTGACATTCTCAGAGAAGAGTGTCATAAGCTTCTAAAGGTTTAAGTTGTTTTTGAGGAATACAGCTCTGAAGGCTCTGAGGGTTTTAGATGTTATTATTTGGCTCCAAATGTATTAATGTAAGCATTCTTTGCATAAATTAAAGTAGTCTTGCTCAAATGATTTTCCTCCCTGCCCTTGGGGCTTTATGGCTGAAAGTAGGCTGATTGCTTAGATTTGTAGACTTTGTGCTAAAGGTATGCTTCTCATTCTTTATGGCTAAATAGTGGTCTTTTTCCAGCAAATGGCATCATAGTGAAAGCTGTTTTTCAAGAGTGATACCCTGAATTTCTACTGAATTGTATTTATAAGTGCCTATAGATACTGTCCTGGTTTTGGAATATCTTATTATTTTAAGAATTGAAAAAATAGTCAGTGTTTCAGTAGGCCATAGTGGTGGCTATTGTGCTTTCTTCCTGTACCAATAAAGCAACAGGGAAAGTGGTATCTAAGTCGCTACTGACAGAGGGTCAAACGCGTAGTAGCTGTGTGTTGATTGAGAAATATGATGTGGCTATTGGCAAGATTTGATTTTACAGTAATATGTTTATAGTCTCAGCTGTGGCCAGAGTGGCTTCATAGCATCTTTTAATTACTGCATCTAGAAAATAATGATACTCATCCTACCACTTCAGAGAGAGCCAAGAAGCTTTGCACAATGAAATCTACTGTAGTGTGTGGAATTACTCATGCTGTCCTGTGGGATGACAGAAACACAGTCTACTCCAAATTTATGACAAATAATCATGATGTCTTTATCTTGCGTGGAACTCAAGCTCTTGGCTTTTAGGGCTCCTTTAGAGGGCCAGCAGAACCCTGGGAAAGACCAGAATAGATGTGGGCTCCTTTTTAAATTTATATTTATTGCAAGAGTATATCAATAAACTTTTCAGATTCTATTGAAACACCAGTTTTCAAAGGTGTAGAGTGTGGTTAAAAAGATTTATAAGGAGTTGTTATATGGCTTTTTTCTGTAAGAGAGGCTTGCTTAGGCTAAGTATTTGGGTTGTTTTTGTTTTTTTTTTTTCATTTTCCTTCTCTAGTCTTGTACTAGGAAGCAACAATATTTTAGCTGACATGAAACATTACAAAGGCATCATCTGTGAGCTTGACATACCCAGTTATTGCTTTAGATTTTTTCATCACCTGCAGTTTTCACTTTGTCTTTATTAAATTACTATCTTCTAAACAGATGATCTTGTAAATACTTGATCCTGTAAATGCACTGTAAGGAAGCAATTAATTAAATATATTTTCACTGTATTACCAGCTCTGACAGTACTAGCTACTTAATTTCTATGTCTCATTTTTACAGGCTGAAATACGCATGCACATATATAAATGTCAAAGAAGTCAATAGAAATCTTATTATATATATTGTGTTCATTATTTAGGATTCCAGTCAAATTGAATTACTGAAGGAATTAATGGATCTTCAGAAAGATATGGTTGTCATGTTGCTGTCTATGCTGGAAGGTAGTAAAAACTTAATTTGAAATCCTCTTTAACAGTTGTTCTAACAAAGTTTTTACCTTTGTGATTTTCTTCAGGTGAGAAATAATACTCCATTTTCCTTTGGGTTTTTAATTTTCATGTTTCAATTGTGAGAAGAGTTGTTAGCCTTAAAAGGAATGGGAGATTTATATAGTGTAGTCAATATAGTTTTATATTCTGAATGTCAGAATTGTATAAAATTCAGCTCTGGCAGAAGTTTTACTTTGTTTCCATGAATTTGACTTCTCTTTTGCCTTAGGTGAAATTTTTTTTACTACTGAAGTTGGAATCCTGAGTTCTAGGAACAGGACCATTTATCAGTCATTTTATTAACACCTTTACTATATTGCATTTATTTTGGTAGTGATCTTAGACATAAGAAACAGACTTTGATTTGTCTAGTGGCTTGGTTCAAGGTCCTTTATAGCTAGTACTTGAAATTATGATTCCCTAGAGGATGTGATCATTGTCAAGAAATACTAGTATTTCTTTAGCTCCTTGATAGTATTGTATTAGTGTTTCCAATACTAGACCAACCAGATATACACATAGATGTTATAAAAATCTGTTGTTACTTTTTGCTTCTCATGTGTATCCTACCACATTTATTTTCTGGAGGGAACTGAGAGGGCAGTAAATGCAGCATAGGTTGCAGTGTAGTATACATTGCTACTGCTACTGCTTTGGTCACGTAAGGTCACTGAGAAGCAAAGTAAATTCTTAGTATTGTAGGCTCTGCTTCATGAGTAACCTCCTGAGCTATTCATTCTAACTAATGTGACACTAGTTCTGTCTATATGTTGCATTTTAGTTGAACTACCTTGCACTATAGGATATAGACCTACTGGAGCCAGTCCAGAGGAGGGCCATGAGGATGATCCGAGGGCTGGAGGACAGGCTGAGAGAGTTGGGACTGTTCAGCCTGGAAAAGAGAAGGCTCTGGGGGGATGTTATAGCAGCCTTCCAGTACCTGAAGGGGCTACAGGAAGGCTGGGGAGGGACTTTTTGCAAGGGCAGGTAGTGATAGGACAAGGGGTAATGGCTTTAAACTGGAAGAGGGTAGGTTTAGATTAGATATGAGGAAGAAATTCTTTCCTGTGAGGGTGGTGAGACACTGGAACAGGTTACCCAGAGAAGTTGTGAATGTGCCCTCCCTAGAAGTGTTCAAGGCCAGACTGGGTGAAGCTTTGAGCAACCTGGTCTAGTGGAAGGTGTCCCTGCTCATGTCAGGGGGGTTGGAACTAGATGATCTTTAAGGTCCTTCCAACCCAGACCATTCTATGATACTATGATTGTAAAATTCATAGTATACTGCCTCATGTTTAGTACTATATTAAATGCAACAGATGTCTCTCTGTAAGGCTTGTTAGTTCTTCCTTTCTTTAATGGGAAATACTTATTCGCTTATGGTTTCTTATAAGTCTTAGTGTAGTGTTATTAGTAAAAGGTTTCTGATTTTACAGCTAGCTTTCTCATGTGAGTGTATTAGCCAATAGTTTATAATTCTTACTGTTTGGTTATTTGAGTAGTCATTATTATACATGTTTATTTGCCAAAACATTTGCTGCTATCAGGATCTCTAACTTAATGTCATCACATCTAGGTAATGTTGTGAATGGAACTATTGGCAAGCAGATGGTCGATATGCTTGTGGAATCGTCCAACAATGTGGAGATGATTCTGAAGTTTTTTGATATGTTCTTAAAATTGAAGGATTTGACTTCCTCTGATGCATTTAAAGAATATGACCCTGATGGTAAAGGGATCATTTCAAAGAGGGATTTTCACAAGGCAATGGAAAGCCATAAGCATTACACCCAGTCAGAAACTGAGTTTCTGCTATCATGTGCTGAAACAGATGAGAATGAGACTCTGGACTATGAGGAGTTTGTGAAACGATTCCATGAACCTGCCAAAGACATCGGTTTCAATGTTGCTGTTCTCCTGACCAACCTATCAGAACACATGCCCCATGATACCCGCTTGCAAACTTTCCTTGAGCTGTCAGAGAGTGTGCTGAATTACTTTCAGCCTTTCCTTGGACGCATAGAAATCATGGGCAGTGCAAAGCGCATTGAACGAGTTTATTTTGAAATAAGTGAGTCAAGCCGGACTCAGTGGGAGAAACCTCAGGTAAAAGAGTCAAAGAGACAATTTATATTTGATGTTGTAAATGAAGGCGGGGAGAAAGAAAAGATGGAGCTTTTTGTTAATTTCTGTGAGGATACCATCTTTGAAATGCAACTGGCTGCCCAGATCTCTGAGTCAGATCTGAATGAAAGGTCAGCAAATAAAGAGGAGAATGAGAAAGATAAACCTGAGGAACAGGATCCCAGAATAGGTTTCTTCTCTCTCACGACCATGAAGTCTGCATTAGTAGCTCTCAAGTATAACTTAATGACTCTAATGAAAATGCTCAGCATGAAAAGCCTAAAGAAGCAGATGAAAAAAGTGAAGAAAATGACCATGAAGGACATGGTCATGGCTTTATTTTCTTCCTATTGGAGCATTTTGATGGGCTTACTACATTTTGCTTGTAGTGTTGTCCGGGGCTTCTTTCGCATCATATGCAGTTTGCTGCTTGGAGGAAGCCTAGTAGAAGGAGCAAAGAAAATCAAGGTGGCTGAACTATTAGCTAATATGCCAGATCCAACCCAGGATGAGGTGCGTGGGGAAGGAGAAGAGGGGGAGAGGAAGCCAACAGAAACTGCATTGCCTGCAGAAGACTTAACAGATCTGAGAACTTTATCAGATGAGAGTGATCTGCTCTCAGATATATTTGGTTTGGATTTGAAACGAGAAGGTGGACAGTATAAGTTGATCCCTCACAATCCCAATGCTGGTTTGAGTGATTTGCTGAGTACTCCCTCCTTAGCTCCAATGCCTGAGGTGCAGGAAAAAATCCAGGTAACTATCTTTTATTTCTGCTGTGTTTCTGTCTTTCATATGTTAAGTATAGTCTTGAAACAAAACTTGTGTCTGTGTTTTTCTGGGTTTTGTGACATATTTTTAAAGGAAATTACTGATGTTTACCCTCTCTGACATCTTAAACTTGAATTCCCACAGCTTTCTCTAAGTACGTGGTGTTTTGGTTTGCTTTTAATTCAGTGTTAAACTGTCTTTTCATTAATGTAAATTGAAAGATCATCTTCTCTCAGGTTTTCAAATTTTATTTTAAAGCCTAACATTCTGCACTCTGTATATCCATTTAACTAACTCTGTACTGTATAATAGTGCTTAGACACTTTTAAAAATCTGACTTCCTGTAGGAGCCTGTGAAAGAAGATGAAAAGGAAGAGAAGGAGGAAACAAAATCTGAACCTGAAAAAGCAGAGTATGTATTACTTTAACCTCTGATCTTATGAAATGTGTTTTGTTTCACTGAAAAAACAACTCGATTTGTACTCACTACTTTGCCTTTAATTTTGTGTCCATTCATGTTCCACAGTTAGGTTTTTTTTTTTAACCATCTTCCACATCCATCCACATTTGCAAGGAAATGCCATGTAAATAGCATCACACAGAGATTTTAACGAATTTCCCTCTTCCAGCAGCATCCTTTGTAATGTTGATTTAGTTTCTTTTAGAATGTGTTTGATTAAGTTTTTCTTGGTAAGTCTGAAAGCTAGAAGGAAGCTATAATTTGGAAAAATTATAAGAGAACCTGGGATTCCATTAGTGGTAGAGACTGTTTTGCTATGACCTGTTTTGTTATTTGGATTTTGCCAAATATTCCAGTGTAATTTTAATGAATTACTGAATACTCTCACATTTTTATGAAGAATAAGTGTTGGCATTTGATAAATGATCATTTTAATCTTTTTAGAATATGTTAAAATGTAATGGTAATCAGATTAGCTCAGAGTAAAAATAGTGGAAAGCAAAACATAGTGCTTGGTTTTAACCAGTAAAAATGTGGCACTCCATCCCTGTATTTTTTGGTTCCTGATACATGTACAATTCTGACACATCTACAGTTCCTGTAGCTGATATGTCATTGTCAAAATTGTAATTGGGTCCCTTAGTCTCAAACTCTATTCTTATTGCTCTCCTGAGATGACAAACCCCTACCAGTAAGAAAAACTCTTCCTAATCAGTACAGCAAATTTCTAACTTAGCCAGTATAACTTTGTGAAGGAGAGTCTTGCTGACTTTTGAAGATCACTTCACTGCTGATTGCTCCGCTTGACTGTGTGAGTTGCAGTGATACCTGTATTCTCTGTGAGGACTGCAGTGCCTGGCAGTGTTAGCCACTCCTAACATAAGACAAACTTTCAAGTGAACTTTCAAGTGCAAGTTTGTCGAGTGTATTCTAGTAAGAAAAGCAGCTTAGGACATCAGTTATTCTGTTTGTAGATAGGTACAGAGAAGTTAATAATGTAACTTACAAGTTGTCTCTCACTACAAATGGACTTCTGTGATCCTTTCATCTGTCATGTCCATCTGTCAGGTCGAATTAACTTCTAAGGTAATTCACAGTTCCTTAGAGCATGGGTTTGGAGAAGGCAGCCCACTAACTATGGCTTTCTGTAATCGGGCAGCATGGCGACAAGCACACATCGAATGGTCTCAAACTCTCTTATTCCTGTCTCCTCCTGGAGTGGGTAATTATGAATTCCTCAGGTTGGCAGAAATGCAGAATTTAAAATTTGGAAGTTTGCCTTGTAAATGCAAGAAGAACCCAGGTTTTCTGCAACCTTTGTGGGGACCAGATTGTTCAAGTGCATGAAGTTGGAGGGAAGCACTCAGATATATAGGCACTCATACAGACATACAGCTCTCAGCTTACAGACATTTGTCAGTGCAAGTATTAGTGTACAATTATGAAGCAGACCCTCAGGTAATAAGGTTGGCAGATTCTTGATTACCTGCCTCTACCAGTTGCCATCCTCACTTCATGGTGCCAAACCATTAAGTTTAATTGTCTGTAGACCTAACCAAACTGTCACCGTTGCCAGTGTTTTGGGCTGAAGAAGGATATGTCTCTTTGTTATTCATGTCTATGAACTGCATGAATCATGACTACTTGAGCCTCGTTAAAAGCTACAATGGCCTTTTTCAGGGTGTGGTTTTAATTTTTTGTTTAGCAATTTTATTAACTTGATATATTATTTTGGCTTCATGTGTGTCCTAAGAGGAGAAGATGGAGAAAAAGAAGAGAAAGCCAAAGAAGACAAAGGGAAACAGAAATTAAGACAACTTCATACTCACAGATATGGAGAACCAGAAGTTCAGGAATCAGCTTTCTGGAAGAAAATCATTGCATACCAACAGAAGCTTCTTGTAAGCTGTTCTCTAGCCTACATGTTTAGCTGTTGGCAGGGATATGTACAGCCTTATTATTCTACCAATGGAAAGACAAATTTGCATTTGATGAACTTTATTTTTCTAACCACCATCATCCATAAAAAGGACATAAAGGCAAAGGTTTAACTGGAATGTTAGAGAAAAGAAACACACAAATAACTTAGTAGACAAGGTATTAATTCTTAAGAAGACAATTATTGTCCAAATCACATTCAGAGATGCCTGTCCATCACTGGAAAATGTCCACACATTTTTATGTGAATAAAATGTCCCAAATTTCCACAGCAACTTGTGAGCCTGTAGGAGCTGTCTTTCCCTGAGAGACAGCTTTGGGAAATGACAAGCTCTCCTATAAAAATAATATATTAAGATACAATGCTTAGCCTAAAACTCACAAGAAAAGTTAAGATTTTTTTAAAGTAGCAAGTTATTATTTGTGAAACTTCTCAAAACCTGTGGAAAATAAAACTAAATAAAATAGTATAACTGTATCTGAGAGTGTCTCTGTAAAATATGATATCCCCGTGTTTGATGTAGTACTGTTTAAAATCCATGCTTTTATTAGCTAGGAGATTCCACACATATTCTGTGTGGCTAGTCTGAAATGCAAAGCAAAAAGAAATTAACTTTTGCTATATATCTAGTAGATACAATTGTGTAGGGACATCCTACTTCTAGCATGAGTAACTAGCAAAGCTACAAAACTGCAGTCACAATCTTAAGAAAGAATTAGGTGTTTAAGTTTTACTTTTGAACTCAGATTATTTTTTTAGGCTAATGTAGCAGTTGTGATTTTAATTTGTTTTTTCTTGTAATAGTCTCATTAAATAATTCACTAATAGTCATATATGGTCAGGGCTGAAAAATAGAGGAATTCCCATGTGAGAGTTAAAGCATTCAAAATGCGTGCTAGAAATGTTTGTGGATTGTCAGTAAGGGATAAGGTACATTTCTACAATCCTTTTGAGAGCATTTTAATGTGAGAGGAGCTTTCTACTCATGGTACTGAGGTCACAGATGAACTTTTTGCTGATCTGGTAAAAACACAATTGATTTTGGTATAGAAAAAGATTTAAAATAAACATACGCAGACATTTTTGTTTCTTCGTAAAAGTAACAATTTGACATATGCAAGGATATTAAGGTCAGGGAAGATAGAGATTTCTGTATTACTATTACATTGTGATGTCTCTGTGTTGTCTCTAAGTGTATTGAGAAGATAATGAAAAAGATGTAAGAGGCAATTATAAATCCTTCATTCCTTTCTGCATGGAGTGAAAACAAAGGTCCTCTATCCATTATTGCGTGTAAGGAGTAGGAGAGAATTTGTACAATACATCACTCAAAATGTTTGAATTTTTATTTTATTTTCCTATTTATAATTCTATTAAAGAACTCCATACAGAAAACAAACAAACAAAAACCCCCATGGAACAACCTAATAATGATTGTGGTATCGTTATTAGGCAAATTGTATTTATGTTCTGTTTCTATTTTCAGAATTATTTTGCGCGAAACTTTTACAATATGAGGATGCTGGCATTGTTTGTTGCTTTTGCCATCAACTTCATCCTGCTTTTCTACAAGGTAAATTTGTCAAAATATTACTTTTCGACTTGTATACTGAAAAACATTCAGGTTTTGCAGACAGTATACTATGGTAAAACTGCCTCACCTATCAGATTAAATACCTGCTTTATACTGGCACTTCAGAAATCTAACGTGGTGAGAACTAAAGTATTTGTGTGAAGAAACAATAGACTTGCAGTACACAAATAGCTATTTATGAAGTTCTGTGCTGCAACAGAGGCAGCAGACTGAAAGGTGTACCCGTGCCTCAGATGCTTCATTTCACAGTACAGTGACTCAGCCAAGCCCAGCCTTCACTGGCAGCTTAAACTAATACATGTCAGCTGAGATGTTTTCTTGTGCCATTATGCTTCCCTGAGAGGAGCTGCCTAGAATACCACTGATCTTCTTTGTCAAGGCTTTTAGTATCATTAATACAACTCTGGAGTCTTCAGACTTGAACCAGTTTCTGACAGAGCCCTGCTGATAAAGACTGCATGTGGGAATGTCAGGAACTGACACTGTTTTTTCTGAGAGGGCTATGACCTTTCTTGAATTTGAGATCAATAAAATTCAGCATAGCCCAAATTTGCTACCATGGAAAGAGAGCAAAAGAAAAAGAAAATGCACGCTATCACAGATTGGTGTAACAAGATGAAAGGATCTCTGTGAGGTATTCTCTGTGGATGTTTTTGTGCAAAAAAAAAAAAAAAAAATTCCTGACAATTATATTGTCCTTGGTATCATTGTTTTCCGTTGAACTACTTAACTTGTAGTAGTATAAAGCTCCTGTCAAAGGAATACAGCTGCAATATTAAGATTAAGTGATTTAAACAGGTCTCCACCTCTGCTGTGACAGAAGAAAAGGAAGTTCCTGTGGTATCTGCTGGTGAAAGTATTATTTTGGACACCCTGGAAAGCGACAGCCAGAGGGTCATTGCAGTGCATTATGTCCTGGAAGAAAGCAGTGGCTACATGGAGCCCACACTGCGGATTTTGGCTATCCTACACACAGTCATCTCATTCTTCTGCATCATAGGGTATTACTGTTTGAAAGTAAGAAAAACTGAATGTTGTCTTTTCTTCTATCTCCCAACTTTTTTTATCCATTGAATGGTATAAATTGGAACCAAGACATAGCAACTTTGCTTAAGCAGGTTGAGGGACCATGTGTGAATTCAGGAAGTTACAGGCCAGAGTCTGATTTGCTGGGCTGACACTGGATCATAAGAGCAGCATTTGCACCGTTATTATGTCAGCCAGACACTTAACAGCAGTTACCTGTACCAGAAGCTGCTTGTGGCTGCCAAAGACAAAATGAACACGTGGTCAGAAGAAACTAGATGACAGTGTCTGCATTACTAGTCTGTCAACTGGGTCATTTGAAAAGCATGCAGCTTTTTGGACTACTGCTACTGCATGCTGTGGCTATAGACAATGCCTACTTTTCATACACACTCTGATGGTAATGTTTTGGCAGCAACTCAGGCATCTTTTAAATAAATATCTTGCGGAAGATCTCTGTTAGAGATGTAAGAAATAAAGATGCCACCTTTATTGGCAAAATACTCTTTCTAGTTTAGGAAAACCAAATACCCTAAAACTGGAGCTGGGAGGAGTATATCTGGGATTTACTTCCCCCGTTTTTACACTCTTCCTCAGGCAAAATCTATAGGTCAAAGTGCAAGATAGTACTAAATTAAATGGACCTTTGCTATGACCCAGTATGGCTGCTCATTTGTCCTTACAATTGTAATTTCTTTATTAAATTTTTATGTGGACATGGATATTTTTCTTTCTTTCTTTTAATGGATAATACTTTTTCTATGCTAAAATGACAAAATCTGCATTTGTAGCTGAGGCAAATGGTCATCATACTCTATCTAAAGTGTCTCTGCAGGTCAATAAATACTAAAACACGTCTTCCTGTTTCATTGGTTGGCATGCAACATGAAAGCTTAGATTTCTGGCTTTTGAGATGTCCTCTTCTCCCACCTCACAGATTTTTTTTCCACTGTGACTTTTATGCTACTTTCCTACATTGTTTTTTTGGACTACATTTATTCTCTGACTAAAAGGGAAAGACATTATTATCATCATTTGCCATAATGAATTGCCTTCTTTCCAATTCTGAAACCCTGAAGAAGACCAAATATAGTTTCAGTGTCTATCTTTGGAGACGACTGCTTTCAAAATTAAAAATCTTCATAACTGCAGGTCTGTTTATGATATGTTTGCTTCTGGAGATCACTCTGCATGAAATCCACTAAATTTTTCTCTATTAGCTGTCTGAAAATAAGATTGGAATTATTGTTATTGTATCTAATGCAATCACCATGTTGCCTCAGTAGTCTAATTTTTATTATTACAATTTCAGTATACTCATGTCCAGTCTTGACTAGTAATGCAATTAAGGTAATGCAGGGTGGATGAATTCTGGGGACCTGTGAAGTAATTCCAGGGAAGAGTAGGGTTTATTTTTTGTTGGTAAGATTCCTAAGAAAAATCCACTTCACTGGGACCATGAGTTACCTATGCCTTCTTGGAATGTACTTTTGAATGTCATCCAGCTGATAAAAGAGAGTTGTAGGTAAAGCCTGATTCTTACTATTCAGGTGCTTCAGCTGCTGGCAAACTACAGAGCGCAAATCAAGAATATGGAATGTAAATGTGATTTAATGATTTGTCCTTTTACTGCTTCCAGTCTTTCTTTGCTCTCTGCTGTGAAGACTTCTTGCAGTTTTTCTTCAATTCCCACTGTGAAACCTCTAACACCTCTGGGAATCAAAATACAATCCAAAAGTGTGATACCATATTAATATTTTGGAACTAGAATTTCTAAGCATCTTTAAATTATATTTATTTTAGCTCTGTTAGTGTAACCTATGCATAAATTGTGTTAAGTGATGTGTGAATTGCCTCTAATAGCTCCGTAGCACTGAAAAACTATTTTTATTTAAAGGTTCCCTTTTCAGGACTTTTGACTATCTTTTTACAACTGTGTGGTACATTGTAGTTATATGATTCTGAACAACCTGGTCCTTGTGCATCTACATCTTTGCAGTGTTGTGGGCAATTGTCAAGTTTTTTAATTTTTTTAAATACTATTTTTGCTTTGTTCATTTTTCATACTTAATTTTTCATAACAACCAGCTTTTCTTAAAAATTTTCAGACCTGACAGTGCATTTTAAATAATTCCTGATATTTTTTTTCAACTACAGGTTCCACTGGTTATTTTTAAGAGAGAAAAGGAAGTGGCGAGGAAACTGGAATTTGATGGGCTGTATATAACTGAACAGCCATCAGAAGATGATATTAAGGGTCAGTGGGATAGACTTGTAATCAACACACAGTGAGTTTTTACCTACTCTGTCTCTCTTTATAGCTTTGCAAGGAATTTTCTTCACTCTCAACAATTATATAGTTGATCATCCAGCTTGTCTGAAATAAACAATAGCGAGAGATATTTAAGGCCAGGCTGGATGAGGCTTTGAGCAACCTGATTTAGTGAAAGACTTCCCTGCTGATTGCAGGAGGGTTGGAACTAGACGATCTTTAAGGTCCTTTCCAATCCTAACAATTCTATGATTCTATGATTTATTTCTAGCAAGGATATACAAAATATTTCAGGCACTTGTTATGCTAGTATTTACTATTACTTTTAAATCTTATTCATTCACAGGTTTTTGCTTTAAAATTGTTTCTGTTCTGTGAAAGGACAAAAAAAATTGCTATGAATTTCTTTTGGCAAGCACAGCAATGGTATTGTATTACTCAGTTCAAGAGTGAACTCTGCTTTGCATTCTTTTAGTGTCTCTTGAAGGCTGTCCTTTAGGAATATATTTAAAGTCCTGACCCTCTGCCTGGTAGGACTATGTGATCCCGCTGCTTTAGAACCCTGTCTGCAGGCATCTGCATGCTGCTCTTTCCCAGTCACATTAACATGGTAGGCTGAATGCCATTTGGCAATTTTAATTCCAGTGACTTCACAAATGACTGGCTGGCAATAGCAACAAAAAAGAGCCTCTTAGAAACAAAATCAGTATGTAATTTTTATGATGTCTTAGTAACTATTGCAAATTCCCATGATTGTTTAAAATGTAATCTTGTTTATCTGTGTTTTTCAGGTCTTTTCCAAATAACTACTGGGACAAATTTGTGAAAAGAAAGGTAAGGCTTATTTTTAAAAATACATACGAAATTAAAAGAAAGTTTTAATGTATTTTTATTTTAATGTTTGAAGAAATGTGGACTACACTTCTTTGAAATATAACTTTGATACTTTCCATATTTACCATTTTAAAATACATGGAATTCCTTTACTCATGCTTACAACTACTTTTGTGTGGTTTGGATAGTTATTCTTTCAAATGTTTTCTACATAAAGCTTATTGTATAAAGCATATATTCAATGTATGTATTTAAATACATACATTAAATTATGTGGAGAATTTCTGTGTGCACTTGTATGTATATTGCAACATATGCAAATTTTTTTGTCTGTGTGTATTTATGTGTTCACCTCTGTGCACACAGAATAGAGAGTCTCTCAACCAGGAGGGGGTAAGAAAGAAATTTAATAAGAAGATAGGACAGACTTAGGTGTTTAGGCACAAGGCATAGTCAGACAACTGTAGTGACCAGCAAACTATATACATGCATTTGGCCCTTTTTGTCCCTTACCATACTTGTTCCTCCCCAGATCACCTAAATCCATCCCTTTCCCCACCTTTGCTTCCTCCCTATAACATCCCATAATAAGTTCTGTGATAATAATCGCCAAATGCTCTTCCTTCACCATCTCATAATGTGTATCCCACATCCCTTGGTAGTAACCCTCTTAGTCTGAAAGGTGATCTGGTGAGCTACTCCCAGTGACTCATCTTGATGGGTTTCATACCTGGACACTGGGGCTGAGGCTCTCCTGGGACAGCCCTGGGAGGGACAGGTTGTCCATTCACTGGTAGTCTCTAATTTGGGTTCCTGCCTGACATTGTGCTCCTATGCTCTGCTAGGCTTGAGATGGGTGTTTAATGGGCTGGTGGCTTTTGTGATGGGCCGGGGAGTAGCCGGGCAGGGTATTCTTTGCACTCTCCCCGACCATTGTCTCTCTGTGGTCCTTTGTGAGCGTGCAGATGAGCTTTTATCACATAACCTCTCTTAAAAATAGCGCTCAGTAGGCAGAGACTATTGAAGTTAATTTATTACAAATGTTAAGTCAAATATTTCCTCAGCTTGCTCTTAAAAAGGAAATGTTATGTATGTACCATAGCTTACAAGAATAATAATCTTCCTAATGTGTTTAGCCACAATTGAAAAAGAAAGTGTTTATGTTGTTGGATCAGATTTATCCCTCCTTCACACCATTTAATGCCAATTTTCAATCACACTTCTGGAAACATGTCTTTTCAAATTCTAGTATATCTTCTGCTTCATAACAATTTTAGGTCAACCTGTCTAAAAAAATGCTTTGAGTTGTGTATTCATTTTGCTGTTGAAAGTATTTTTTGTGTGTATTTGAAGTTGTTAGACACATATTTCTATCTGTCTATCTAAGCAAAGAGGAGGGAGTAGCTTGCACAGAGTACTCAAGAAAGAAAATAAAATTTTGCTTTGTTTCTGTCAAGGAAGGTTCCTATTAAAAAGAAAGGAGCATGGTTTTAAATTGTGTGGAAGATTTGGTACTTTATCTTTGGCTGAGGAGCTGCTCTGCAAAGATTTAAGTGCCTTCGAATACCTTATCTTGCAAAGAATGTTTTATTTTGCATATATTTATATTTATGCATAAATCCCCAGCCTAGTGAATCATCCAGTCATGAAGCATTGTTTTCAGGCATGTGACAAAGAAGACTTGTCTCTAAAAATCTGCAAAACATCAATGAAGATTTAAAGCATTGCTTATTAGAAAGCTGGTAAAATAACACCTCACCTGCAGGAGTCATTCATTTATGATCTTGTTATCCAGAATTTTTTTTTATTTCTTTGAGTATTCTTTTTAAAATAGGAAGAGAGAGATAATATTTAGGAAGGAGCTGTGTGTCCCTCTATTCAAGATCTTTTGATTCTTACATATTCTATGTGTACTATAGTTTCACTGCAGTATTAACTAACAAAAATAAGATCATTAAATTATGCAATGGAGCTAGTTAATAAGTAAGGACATTTTTCATGATTATTTTAATGTGAAATGCTTCCCCTTAAAAGCAAAAAAAAATCAAAATTCTTAATCAAGATGTTCAGATTATTTAAAAACCCCTTTTTAAACAGAATAAACATGTTTTGATTTTCTTTTTCCTTAAAAGGAATAACTAGTAAGGGTCAAATACTGTCTTTGGGAAATCTTATTTTAATCAGCGCTTTTTATGTAACTAGGATATTCAAAACATCTCTTTCCTGTGTGACGTCACAGTGTATTTTTTTTTTCTGTCAGTGATAATATTGATTTATTCTCATTCTGCTGGGTTGTTTTCCTCTTCTTGTTTTCATTAAATGAGTAGGGACATCTTATTTTTGACACCCACTTCTTGTGTCTATGGAATTAATTGCAATTGAGCAGAGAAAAAAAAAGTTACTGACTGATATGATAGACAGATGGAAACAAACAGATGAAAAATATCATGTATGTTAAACATCTTGTCTTCAGAAACCAGACTAAAAACAGCTGGTCTACCCAACTGATTCTCTTGAATATTCCTCCTAACTTTAGGTCATGGATAAATATGGTGAGTTCTATGGCCGTGACAGGATCAGTGAGTTACTAGGAATGGACAAAGCTGCTCTCGATTTTAGTGATGCTCGAGAAAAGAAGAAACCAAAGAAGGATAGCTCCTTATCTGCTGTGTAAGCATTTGCTTCTGGTTTGTTTGTGTGATTGGGGTTTTTTTGTTTGTTTGTTTGTGGTTTTTTGTAAGTTAAAATCAAGCGTTCAAGGTTTGTCATTCAGGTCTGAATTTTCTTGTTGCTCTTTTATGTATAGCTATATAAGAGAAATCAATTCTTAAGCTGAATGATGTAATGACTTTATTTCATTATAGAGAACATAGATGTAGGACTCCACTTTTTTATGTATGAAAATTTAGTTTAGAGCACAGCTGCCTGAATTACCACTGTTTTGATAATGTCATTACAACTGGGCTGGAAACTCCTTTTCATAGTTGTCTCAGTTCAGCTCATCTGTAAAGAATGGGCAAAATTGGCACTGTGTGCTCTGCTTATAAAGAAATGTTGGAGTAATTTTAAGTGAAAGTGATAGTGACCGGTACAATTTAGGAAGCTAGATGATTACTTTTCACATCTTTTTATATTTTGTTTTCCCTAAACTGTGTATTTGCCTATCATCTGAGAGATAAACCTTAATAAAAGTTCCGAGACATTCAGAGTAATCATCATTTTCCTTCTTAGGAAGGGGACATCCTCAGTTTTTTGTAAAGCACTGCAAAAATGTTTTTCCCAGTTCTGCATTATAAAAAAAGATATTCAAATTGATAGAATATATTTTACCAGATGGACTTTTAATGCCACAGAGATTCTAATGTAAGAATTTATTTATAGCTTTCTTTAAAAGCAACATTATATCAAAATATTTGCAAGGATTATACGAGGTAGACAGTGGGACCACTAGTAGATTATAATTACATCGAAGCAAGGACTGATTTTGTAAAGATGAATATTTAATATCCATCTCTTGTAAAGATGGATATATAAACCTGGAGTCCATCTAAACCATCAATCAGGTGCAGTGTAAAGGCCCAAGCACTCTGCGGCATTGCAATACTAAATAAAATTTAATATTGTGGTAGAAGTACTTTCCAGAATACTTTCTCACCTGCTGTTTTGCTGATGGATTACAGTAGAACCCATGCTTGAGTTCAGAAAAAACCCCAAAAAACCCAAAACCTTTTATTATTGGTATAAAAAGAAAATGAAACTACTTTTCTTTCCCTGCATGCTCATGGCTCATATTTGGGAAGAAATTTGAAATAATGTTTCTGTGAATACTCTTGAAAAAACAAAGCAGAATGAAGCAGTTGGAAAAGGGTGATGAAATACTTAATTTCAGAATCAGACCTGAAGGATGCCAGTTTTTTGTTACATCTCTAAGGTCTACTCCGTGCTATATAAGTTTAAAAAAAAATATTACGATCTCATCCATCTTTCATATTCTCCCTGGAGAAGTCATTCCATACTTCTAACAGATGAATAAGCTGTGTTGGGGGCGGGGGGGGAAACAAAAAAACCAAAACAACTATGACAGAAATTTACAGAACCATGTGCATAAGATTCATATGCTTCAGGAAGGTACATGTATCCACTTTTACCCATTTCAAAAATGAACGCTAATGAAGCTACTAAAACTTAGGCATATTCCAGATTCAACATTTGAAATATATTTACAGTGCAATGAAGAGAGAGGTGGGAAAAGCACTGGAGTTGAACTGCACCACTTTTGGCAAAAAAAAAAAATAAAGGAAAATGATACAACCTGGTGCAGATCCCAGCTCTAGTGCCTCTGCTTCTGCATGTGCCAGCAAGAGGTGGCCCAGACTGAGGCCAGACCAAATACCAATGTCTTTCAACACAGGAGGGAAACACAGCATGTAGCATTTCCATTCCCAGTACAATTGAAACAGGTTTTTCTTCTGTCTCCTTGACCCCTGGCTTCTACTGTTTCTTCCCCTTTCCTGTGGGCAAATAACATGGGATTTCCTTCCATCTGTCTTTCTGCAAGGGACTCAAAGCACTCCACTTGCAAGTGAACAAACTCCTTCAGAAGCTCCTGCTCATCCAACTGATATACTACATAAAAAAAAAAAAAAAAAAAAAAAAATCCTTAGTGTGGTGTTATATTTTAACTCTGGGAGAACTATTCTGCTTATCAGTGCAGTCTTGAGTATTTTTTAAGTATATATGTTTAAATTTATAAATATGCATTAAATATTTAAATAATTATTTGAATATATTGCAATATTATTTAAATATAACCAACTAATGAGGATGATGCAGTTGCAGCCCTACTGTAGATTAGACAGTAAAGACAGTTTACACACTGGGATTTAGACAGTGCACTATTTTTCCATTGAATAAGTTTCCTTTCTGGGGTGGATGGTGTTAAACTAGCTGCAACATGGGTGAAGTATATTTGAGAGGATAATATGAAAGACACAATGATGAAAGTTATTTATCAGGGGTGTCATAGTCAGGATTCCCTCTCTCAGTCCCTTTACCTTCCTAACTGCTGTTGATTCTGCAGTCATTAGTCTAGTCAGAGTCAATAGAAGAAGCAGCTGAGGTTCAAGCATCTGCATTGATCAGTGATTTTATTTGAGGTAGTTTCTAAACCTGATGTCCCAAGATTTATACCTTATATTATGTCACCACAGGATTTAGAGACCTGTGGATGTGCCTGTTTGCCCAAATGAAAGAGTATATCTGTAGGTGGGTAGTGGCTTTAGCCTTCATAGTTGAGAGGCAGGCGTTGTTACCATTAATGTATAATGTCCAAATTCCCAGCCTGTCCCATTGAGAGGAATTATGTGTGTGTGGGAAACTCAATTCAAGCCTTTCTGCTTATAGATGCTAATGTAAGATACCTCCTCCTTTGATTATTTACTTTCATATCCTTGCAGAGGCTCTGTGCTATATCTCCAAGGCAGAGAGATAACTTCAAGACACTGAGTAACTCTTTATTTTGTTTTGTTTTGTTTCGGTTCACTACTTTTTGTAATGTTCAGCTGGCACCATTCTGCATATCCTTGCAGAGGCTTTGTGCTATATCTCCAAGGCAGAGAGATAACCTCAAGACACTGAGTAACTTTATTTTGTTTTGTTTTGTTTCGGTTCAATACTTTTTGTAATGTTCAGCTGGCACCATTCTCTGTAACACATCACCTGCTGATGTTGTTCAGTGCCTAGCACAAAAGGAGCACTGTTTCAACACAGTGCAATAAACATGATAATATTTCCTCCCCAGTTGACCAATTAATAAATAATTAATGTTTCTAATCTAATGGGATGCTTTGTATTGTGCAAATAGTATCATTAACAGATCTTCCTAAACACCTGCATTGAAACTCATTAATTGTTAAGAATGATCATCTTTTAATAAATGATTTTTCTTACAGCTTTAGAAAGATGGGTCATCTTTCTGAACTGTTTTCTCTGTTAGATTAGCCTCCCGAAATGATCTGAAAGAACTTTTAACAGAAAAATTCAGTATCTGCTAAGAGAGTTAATGTGAAGAGTTTACTAATTAAAACTGACTCTTCACAGTTTTAATTTGTCTATCATTTTTAGAAAAAGGTTAAATGCTGCTGCAAGGCTATTTTTCAGTTTGAAATTAGTAATGATAGGTGTTCCTCAGCTGGCAATGCCCTGTAGCTGCTCTGAACAGCTCTGATGTACAAACATTTAGATGATTCAGGTTGAGATGTTCAGAATTTTCTGATTCCAGTTAACGTTAGTATCATTTAATTACTTGAGGATTTTTATTTTTTTTTAAAGAGAAGAATAACTTTTGAAAACCTACTACATTATACTTGGAAAAGCTGAATAGAGTAGACCTTAAGAAAGAAGCTGTAAGAAGTCTGGATGTTGTTGAAGGTAATGAAATACTAGTGCAGGTTGCAGCCAAATGTAACACAGGCGATTTCTCACAACTTTCCTACCTTTTATTCATGTTCTGTGTTTTCACACTGTGCCATCGTTTACCATCACCAAACTCAGCTACTATGGCTACAGTACTAGAGTGTATGCCAACCTGTTCAATGGTGCAGAAAGCAGTCAAATAAAAATTCATTCAGACTAGGAAATTCATCCAATATAATACTAACTAATTATTTTCCAAGGGAAACTTGAAACCATACTGTTACTTTTAGATTCACAGCTGTAAAGCTTAATTTTTATATGACCTCATATTCTTTTAAGTCTTTGAACTACTTGATCAAGGTAGTGAGCAGAAATAAACTGGAAAATGCAATAATATGCATGTTATTATTGCTTTGCTATCCATATCTGACTTACTTTAAAAAATGAAGATATTGGAAAATGAACAGTTCCTTTTTCCATTTAGGAGAATATTCACATTATTTTTAGAGCTCTACAGCTATTGCTGTTTGCAAAATCTAAAATAATAAAATGTCACCTAATGACTGTCACCTGAGTCACCATTGAAGAAACTCATGTGATTTAGTTTATACAGAGTTGCTGTCTACCATGCAGGCAATCATGAAGCAAAGCCAATTGATGATGGTGCCATCAGTGTGCATAGTAAACTTTTATCAGCTCTCATTCTTTAAAAAAGTTTCATGCCAACTTATGAGAAATTTTAGATTTGTTTACCTCGTAATTTGCTGCCTTTGCATAGATAAAAAAACCCCAACAAATGAAATGGTAAGAAAGAAAATTAAAATCTGTTGTATCTTGTTTAACTAGATAATAGACTCGAGAATTCACCATTAGTTTCTGTGCTTATGTTATTTTTGTCTTTACAGAGCATTAATAATATAACTGTGCTCTTTTACCTACTCTGAGCTAAATGTATAGTCCTGTGGAAGTTCAGTGCAGTCAGAAAAGTATAATTAACTGTGAATAAAAGATAAAAATGTTGACCCTATCTGAGTTACTGTATCGTCTAAATGTTTTCTGCATAGAAGTAAAACGTATATATGAAAGATCTGTCATGTGTAAATCTGAGAACAAAGGTCAAATCTTTCATAAATCAGAAAACTTCTACTACTTTTCTTCTGCTTTTCCCTTTTTATTTAAGTAGACTAATACACTTCAAAAGGAAAAATGAATTCTTAATTAAAATAGGCTATATAGACTATTTGGAGTAGAGGACTTGATCTCAGTTTGATTTAATGCTTTTTTTCAATTATAGTAGCTCCACTCATATCTATGTAGTGTTTATATTAATATACAGGAGGTTCAACTTGAGTCTTTTGCATTTTAGTATTATTTGTGGAAATGGTATTAATTTTTGGTTGTATTAAAGAGCAAATACTGTCATGGAAAATACAAGTAGGAGGGTGGTATTTTGATGCCAAAGTGTTCCTTGGAGTGTAATATTAAAATAAAACTATTACTTTTATGTGGCTAGTGGCTCTGGCTATACAAGTAAGAATTTTGGAAATCAAATCTTGATAGGCCAGGGTTTAACTCTTGATGTTCCATCTAAGGCCTCAGGTAATTCCATATAAACGTCTGGCACGGAAATACTATGTGCTTTCATATATGGCAGGTGTATGACATCTGCCAGCATTATTTCTACTTGTTTAGTCATTGTCAGCATCTCTTCTCTTCCAGGAAGACTGAATTCACTCACATTTTAAGGATAAAAGTAAGATAGATTACATTTTTCATGCTATTATTTATATTTGTTCCTGAATCATGATCCAGGTTTAGAATTTTTTTGTGTCAGTATAATACAGATGATCCAAACCTTTCCATAAAAAAAAAGTCAAAAATTAGAGAGGACAAGATACAGTTACAAGCAAAAATGGTATACATCTTGTTTGGTAAGTTAGTTGTATCACTTGTCTATAGAGAGAAAAAAAAATTGTTTTGAGAAAATTAAGAGGTTTCATTCTAGTACAAAAACTAGCCTGAAGTAGAGACATTTATTTGTGTTGACAGATTAGGAGGAGAATTAATACCTAAAGGTATTAATTAAAGAAATACAAGGGAAAAATTTGGAGAGAATAGTTTACAATATCAGTCTGTACAAGATAGAATTTGTTGAAGAGAGGAGAGCGGTAGAAGAGGCTAACTGGCTAATATAACAAAGCAAGAAAAACTGTAGAAGAAACTGGAAGCCCAGGCCCAGACTCAGGTCTCCAGATGTGACCTTACCAGTGCTGAGTTGGAGGGGAAGGATCATGTCCTGCGACCTGCTGACAACACTCCTCCTCAAGGAGCACAGGGTGCCATTAGCTGCCTTTGCAGTGAGGGGGCATTGCTGGCTTATGCTCAACTTGCAATTCACCAAGAACCCCAGGTCCTTTTCTGAAAAAGCTTTTAATATACATTTCTCTTTCAGTCACATTTATTCCTGGTATCAGTGGGAAAAGCAAAGGACACAAGTTCTGAGATTCATTTCACTTTAGTCATCTTTAATGTCATCTAATTGTATCACCCAATGTATGCTATCATAATTAATGATAAAGTACTGGCATTTTGGGTTGCACATTCTCTGATCTTTTTTGACAGCTACTTTAGACTTAGATGGGTCTGCATTTAAAAAAAAAAAAACAACAACAAAAACTTTTTCTCTGTGGATTATAAAGACAGTTCATTTCACTTGTATGTATATCATAACACTGTAGACATCAATTAGCATGAGGTCTGATGAATCCAAATCAGTACTTATTAATTTGTTTCTCTGCTAGTTTTTTGGACAGGTCCATTCCAGAGTAAAAGTGTGAATTATAATAAGGTTGTGATGTGTTTCAGCTTTTGGAGAAATAGATCAGCTGTTGTCTCCTGTGTTTGTGTGATGATATACTTCCTACAGATTGTGTTGCTTATTTTCCTATTATGTTTCCTATTATGTTTTTCCTATTATGTTTTTTTATAAATAAATAAATGCAATTTATTTATTTATTTTTACAGGCTAAATTCCATTGATGTTAAGTATCAGATGTGGAAATTAGGAGTTGTTTTCACTGATAACGTAAGTTTATCAGTATATATAGACATACATATATATGTATATATTAGCCTTTTAAAAAGCAACATACACTTGTTAACGCAAAGTGCTTCAAAGGGAGGTATAAAATACCTGAATTATATTTACTTTACTACATAGATGATGAAAATCTTGAAAGCTTAAAATGACATTTCCAAAACCTTTTCTTAGTAACATAGGTATTAGTCTGCAGAACCTCAGTCAATTCCTGCCCTGCTTCTGATCTGCTATGCTTTATTCAGGAGCAATAAGCAAGCACTGTGCTGTAGAATTAGAAAACTGACTATATAAATTTTAATTCCCATTTTTCATATTGTTCATAAACTTTATGAAGACTTGACTATTCCTGGAGCACAGTCATATCGGTATAGTTAATATATGTGGAATTGCTACAATTTGTATCACTGAAACCGGTAGTAGGACATGAGACGGAATGAGGCTGATTATTTTAATAATTTGAAAAAAATAGTCTTTTAAAAAAAAACAACAAAAATGAATTTTTAGACCAAGTATTAAAATGCCTTGCAGTTTAAGAAGTCACTCATCATACGATTATTAAGTCTTATGACTATCACTCGCCTAACCCAACTTATTTTCAGTTAGAAAAAACGGTTGGGTAACAAATGATTTTGTAACTAGGACTGCTGGAGAATGAAAGTGTAATCTTACTTCAGTCAGGAAGAGTGGAATGATAAGTTTCCAGCTCTACAGAAAGCACGATCTGTGAAGACAGAGTTTGTCCAGGATTCTGTTTGTTTTAAGGGAGGGACTGTAGTTTCTCTTGTAAATACGTGCTTGTCTTTAAGTCCAATAAAAATTAAATGATAGAGGAAAAGATGAAGTTAACATTTGTAGTAATGGTGAGTAAACTACTTAAATAATACTTGTAAGTTTAAGTAGTAGTTTTTTGTAGTTTGAATTAATTATAAAATTCCTTTTTTGCTTGCAGAGTCCTTCCATTTGTCATTAACCACCGTAGGGCATTAATATTTTAATGTAATTATTTAGAAATTCACAAACAAAAAGTCATTTAAATCAGAAAAACTTTTTGTGTTAGAAACATTAACAAATAAGGGTTTAGCAATTTCAAAATTAGTTTTTACAAATTTAAAGTTAGAATAGAATATGTCAATTTGGACATGTCTTGTGAACTCTGTATTTGGTGATTTAATATTTTTGCACAAAGAGAAAATTCTCAAAGATCTCTAGCAGATTCTATGTAAAAAAAAAATAAAAAATATTTTCTATTTAAGGAAAAGCACATTCAAGCAATTTCTACCTTTCCTTAATATTTTGAATTAAATTAAAGATAGTAGCCATGAGTTTTATTTTATGATGTATTTGTTTTTTCTGTCAGTCTTTCCTTTACCTAGCATGGTACATGACCATGTCAGTCCTTGGCCATTACAACAATTTTTTCTTTGCTGCTCATCTCCTTGACATTGCAATGGGATTCAAGACGTTACGAACTATCCTGTCATCAGTGACCCACAATGGCAAACAGGTATCAACTGTCATCTCTTTTCAGCTTTTTTACTTAAGGAGTACACAGGGAAGATCACTTCATGACTTAATACAGCTGCTCTGCAGATTGACAACAGAATTGTTCCATTGTGAAGTTTAGGACTTGGGTCAGTGGGGAGCCTAACCAATGTGATTTATAAACATAAGAAAATGGGACTACGATGTATGACAGTCTCTAGCTGTTATGAGCAGCTGTGTCATAAAGTTGCTGTTTAAATTTTTTTCAGGATTCATTTAAAGAAAGGTGCAGTTGAGACCCAGTTACTCTTTCTGTTAGAGGACTGTTTGAGAAACTGAGCTCTTCAATAACAAGAAATATTTTCTTGAAGAAGCTATAAAATCTGAAATTGCATTTCTGGTTCAAGTAAAGAAAATAACTAAGGCTTTGCATCTACTGAGATCTGTTCTAGGACTGGCATTTAATGTAACCTGAGACTTAGCGTTCCTCAAGTTTGATGGCCTTCCTAGTTCAAAGGACTTTTGTAAACAATTTTTAATTATAAAAAAGCCATACTTGGTCTGCTTAGAAGATCTTCCAGCAAGGCAGCTGATATAATTCTTATTCAAATAGGCTGGGAATGGTAACATAAAGGTCTTCTCTGTTGTGCTGTTGTAGTAAGGTAGAACGTCAGTTATGATTTTGTACAATGTAAGTGCTTTGGAAGTCTGGTGGCAAGTGCTGTTTCAAAATTTATCAGTAGTAAGTTTTTTTTTCAGGATTTTTCTATTTATTCTCTTTTGTTTTAAGCAAATTTGATGCTAGAGAAACATAAAATCATTAGCAGTGATTTTTTATAAATGCAAAGGATGATTGATTTTATTTAATTCTGCCTTCAAATGCATTGTCCTTGTGAATACACATTTAAATGGACACAGTTTATATTTCAAAATACCTAGTGGAGCACGTAACATATAGAAGACAAGTATGAACTCACCTTGACAAACTGCTTTTAATTTACTTTGTGTGGCAAAATTAAGTTTCATTTGTGGAACTAAATTATGTCTTGAAAAACTGCAGAAATCGACATACTGCATCTTTTGCCCTTTAAAGAACAGAATTTCTTAAATTCTTCATTCTGATTTCTTAAAAAAATGAAAAAGCAAAAAAAAAAAAAAATAGTCTGCAAGTTTTAGCAAATTATCTGTAAAGTAAGGGGGCGTTATTTATTATAAAGAACTTTTCAGGTCTGGCAGCTATGCAAGTGAAATATTGATTTGCAGGATATTGCAGTTCACTTCCAGCTGCTTTCCATAAAGCTCAAAGCAAAATTTTAATGATGCTGCAGTTGAGCAGTGTGGGATTTGTTCTGCTTCTCTGAGGTAGGTATTAAACTATTAGGAACTGTTTGTTTTAAATATGATTTCATAGATATAAACAAATTCTTTCAGTATTAAGTTAGTAGAAATACTATATTGCAATTATATAATAGGCAATATTAAATGGTAATACTATTACTATTAGGTAGTAAACTTTCAGATGTTTTTGTCTAATTGTGTGTTTTATATGATTCTAGTGGATTGTTTGATTGTGTACGTATCCACTAGATTTTGCAAGATTTGTCTTTGTAATTGTTTCTGAAACATAGTTTTCCTTCAAAATAAAACAGGTGAAATGCACAATCTTTGCATGAAAATATGCAAATATATTACCAAATATTACAAAGATATGCAAAGAGACAGAGAAGAAGTAAAGTTAGTTTTCCTTCTGCTAGTATATATAGATTATTGTTACTTTTCTTATCATTCTGCAAATAAAATTGTATAGCATAATTCCATGGTGGTGTTATATCCACTCTATAATTTTGTTTTACAGCTTGTCCTGACAGTGGGATTACTGGCAGTAGTAGTATACTTGTATACAGTAGTGGCATTCAATTTTTTCCGCAAGTTCTACAATAAGAGTGAAGATGGTGATATGCCAGACATGAAATGTGATGATATGCTAACAGTAAGTCTTATTTTGCTTTCTGGATTTTTTCTTAAACTGTTATGTCTTTGTCCTGACCTTCTTGTAATTCCTATTCATACAGTCATATCATTAGCCAGCAATAGGAAAGACTATAATTTAAGACAAAGGAACAAATATAATGAACATTCTTCACAACTAGATATACCCTGGGTATGGTATGTTAAACAAACACATTTATAAATGAATAGAAGAAATGTGATGGTATTTTTTGGTGTAATTTCTCAAAAAAATCACAACCAACTACAAGCTGTGAAGCTAAGCCAAGAAAGTTAAAGGGCAGTACTTCTGAATCTTGAGGTTCTACAGGCCATTCAGGAGGAGAGTCAGTTATCACTTTCAGAAGTGATTTAGGTACTGAAATAATTCTTTAAGCTTGCAAATACATCAGTTTCCTTAGCATGAATCGCCATGAATATCTTCAACTGGCAATTCTGTTACTGAAGTCTCTCCTGTGCTCAGAACCACTGAAAATTATTTTGTACTTACTGAGACAGTGCCAGGCTTTGCAGTTGTGGGTGGTAGACAGAGCTTAAATCATGAAGGATTTCCAAGATGTGTTACCATTAATATCCTTTTAAAAGCAATCATGTCCAACAAAGTTAAATATATGTCAGTATGTTATGCAATGTGAATCACTTCCAGGGAACTGACACCATTTAAAAAACTAGTAATTAGCTAAATTGTGGAAGCACACTAGTATGTCTATATTTTTGTACAGTTTGTGACATCCAGTACAAGAAAGACACAGACAAACTAGAGCATAAGTCAGTGGAGGGCTTCTGAAGCACTTGCCTTGGGAGGAGGGGCTGAGGGAATTGGACTTGTTAGGCCTGGAGAAGAGAAAGCTTTGGGAAGGGAGGGAGTGTAAGAGCAGCTCCCCAGTGCCTGCAGAGAGATTATTGGGAAGACAAATCCAGACTCTTTACAGAGGTTTTAAGTTTTAGGAGTTAGTTATTGTTATTGTAATCACTGCTTTTTGATGGGGAACGAGAACCCTGGACCTGTAGTTTGCGAAGCTACTTAAGAAAAGAACCAATCCCCTGCTCCAGACCTCTGAGAGTGATATCATCATTTTCTATTAAATTATAGTATGATAAACTGGAAATTTTGCATTGTCAGCATCCCACATAACTATTCTGAGAGCATATTATACCACTTTGCAGATCATGGATTCACTGTATTAGTCTCGGACCTTTTCCATCATTAACCTGTCCTCTGCACAAACATTCTGAAAATATATTTTTTGTTTTGCTTTGTTTTGTCTTGTTTTTTTGTTGGGTTTTTTTTTTTAAATTTTTGTTTGAAACACCAAAGATGGGGTAAATCATTCACTTTTGAGCTAGGAAAATGGAAAAAGAGGTGGCTGTGATGGTAATGGTATTTCCTATTTGCACATTACTGAAATGATTGTACATGAATCGTGGTGTACTGCTGAGCTTAAAGTAGTTGAACCTTTGATATTTTTGAACTGCTACACAAGGACAGAACATTAAATACTGCAGCTTCGGCTGCACAACCACATTTCACCTTCATCAGAACTACACATAACTTCAAAGGGGAGAAAGAGGTACCTTGATGTAGTTGCTAGACCATAGAACAGTTCTGCCAATTACTGAATTTGCAACAATGGGTATTTTTACTTTTAGCTGCAGACAAACTTTGTATGCCTTTGTTTTGTGTTTTCTAGTGCTACATGTTTCACATGTATGTTGGAGTACGTGCAGGTGGAGGCATTGGTGATGAAATAGAGGATCCAGCAGGAGATGAATATGAAATCTATAGGATCATCTTTGACATCACTTTCTTCTTCTTTGTGATTGTCATCCTGCTTGCAATTATTCAAGGTATATGTTTGTAACCCATAGTGAGACTGAAAGCATTATTTAGCAGTACAGAGATCTTAGTGTTAAGGTAATCACACACCTAAGATTCAATCAGGACACCAGGGAAGATCATGAGGCACAGATTTATACAGTAAATCACACCCACTGGCTTTAATCCATATGCTGTTCTCCCAAGTCTCTGTAGAATCAACAGGCTCTAACTGGATCAGTGGAAACAAAAAAAGCTCTTTGCTGCAAGAATATTGGTGTCATTACAGTTTCTATCTTCTCATCGCCCTTTCTAAAAGCCTCTTGTAAATGATCAGCAAGAGAAGTGATTAGAAAGTGATTAGAAATCTTGTGGCATACCTTAAAATTGTCTTTCAGCATAACCCACCTTTTGTGAGCTTGTGTGGACAAAATCAATAGCAGGTGCTGTCAATATTCCTCTTGCCAACATCTAATGTGCTTGCCTGTCTGGCAAATTTTCAGGCTGGTGGTAGTAGTGTGAAAATCGGAAGGGATCTTTAACAGGTTTAGTATTTTCTTACATTAAAACCTCTGTTTGATGTGATGCCTGCTTACTTGAACAATGTCAAAGAGTAAAGAAAGGTGCTTGATATGAAATAGCTTTAATATATCCTGGTTAATGACAATGGAAAGTCAGTTGCCGTCAGGTTAGCTTTTGACTTGGAGTGAAACTATTTAACTGGTAGGGTGAGTTGCTGTTGTAATCTGGATAATGGATACTGAATTTTTGGGAAGTCAGGTTTTTTCCTTTATATTTGTAATAATGGTGTTTAATGTTATTACCTAAAGTACTTAAACGACCCATCTGTTCACATATTATACCTTCAAAAGATTGTCAAGAATGTCCAGAAGATCATCTTTTATTAATGTTTGTACTAATTAATGGAAATATATTATTGATTTTGGAAAAACACGTCATGATTTTTGTTGGGTCCAGTTGCTGTTCTAAATAGTGATACTTTATTGCTTTCTGTCGGCTAACAACTATCTAACTTGTGATGATTTGGACAACAGTAAGGATGCTTTCTTACTTCATCCAAGGAAGTTTAGAAGGTGACTGTGAGCTTGTAATAAATTGTTTCTAACTCTTGCTCAAGCAACAAGTTTTTTAAAGGGCACAGGGAGGGTGCAAAAGTTTTTATAGCCTGAAGTGGCATATCTCATACTGTTTGTTTCTTCATTTTGTGAGTGAGTGGCTGAAGATTAGAGGCCTTAGCTGTCAAGCTTTGAGTATAATTCTCATCTGGTATGCATCAGTTTTACAGGACAGTGGTGTCAATAATGATTGTGGAGTTAGTCCTTATTTGTAAGCAAAAAGAGAAACAAAAAGAATTTATAATCTGAGCCATAGAGCCTGTGGTGGTTTCTCCTTTCTGTATCTCCCTAAAATGACACCTTACTTCTGTAGAGCTCTGACAGTGGAACTTCATACTACATGACAACCATAATGAGAGAGGATGCCCAGAGCTCTGGGCCTCTCTGCATCCTCCGTGTAATAAATTCCTGAACTCTGTTAAATGTACAGTAGTATTTTTTCTATAGGAAAGGCTTCATCACTGTAAAACCACATGCATCTTCATATACTGAGTCAAGATTAGAGCACTGTGAATAAAACAGAAGTCTACTTGTCCCATTTCACAATTCCAAATGATAATGCCAACCATGTTACTGACGGACATTTTCTATGACTTGCTCATTTTTCTTAACGTATTGAGTTGGATTTGTGGTCTTTGGAATGTATATTGGCTTATATTATTTCTGCACAAAATTCTGGTTTAATATTCTTTGTCAGAGTTATCCTAGGATTTCCAAATATTCTTTTCACAGTTCTGTTCTTGAACATTAACTATCATTTTAACTTAAACCCTAGGTTTAATTATTGATGCTTTTGGTGAGTTAAGAGATCAGCAAGAGCAAGTTAAGGAAGACATGGAGGTAAGAACATCCAATTGCTGAACAATATCCTGTTTTCAGGTTTCATTAATATCTGTTTTCAATCAAAGCATGATCTGACTAGTGGATAGTTTTTTAAACTAAGAGGAAAATGCTGTTCTGTACACAGTGCAATATCATACAATGTCCTGGATGAGATTTTACTCTTAAATCTCAGTTCATTAGATGTAAATAATAACTGAGGGGGTTTTTTTAATTGACTTTTTATATCTATTAAAATATAAGAACTTAGATAAGTAGTTCTGTTAGTATCCAATAAAATTCTTCTTAGACAATTTTGTTAAAACTCTGCTAGTGTCCAGGTTCTGAATAATATTAACCACTCTTCTGCCTCCTGTGAAAGAGGTATGCTGTGCTTTGACAGGTGCTAACTGCTACATTGCATGTCTTTTTGCATGGGGGACAAACCCAGGTTGTCTAAACTGATATTCTGCTCTAGGCATATTTTGGATTTGTTTCCCAGGTCCTAGTATGGATTTTTTTAATACCTTCAGGTTAAATGTGGCCAGTTTTTTGCTGTCAGTGATAAGTTAACAAAAAATCAGTCAAAAAGCCTAACAGCTTATTTTCTCATGGCTTTTTAAAGTTTAGACTAATCCCTGTATCTTCATTTTTGTAAACAAGAAAAATCTTTGTACATTGTTGTATATTATAATGAACTATATGTCTGTGGCTATTTATGGTCTTTTGGATCTTCAGACTAGAGGTTTCTAACACAGGTGGTTAACATTGTCATGTTACAGTTCATCTCAGATGTAATTTTCTTTGGTTAATTTATGTGTGAAAGTATCCTGTACTTGCTGGTTTTCTATTCTGTTGTTTAAGTATGAGAACTCAGAAAACTGTTGCAAAGCTACTGTGTATTGTAATCTAAACTTTGAGCATATTCAGTTTCAGCTGGACAAGCACAACAGACATTGAGGTAAATACAGCCGTATGTTACAGTGAGTGCTACTTACTGTGTTAAAGGAAAAAATAAAATCAGCTTTGAACATTGTATGCCATTCTTTCTCCTGATACCTGTTCACTTACAGCTGGAAAAGATTTTTTTAAACAGTAAAAAGCTATTCTGATGGCAGTTAAACTTCTATTCAAGTGTCTTGGTGGAGGTATCCAGTCCCGATCATTAAACTAAAAGCCTTTTTGTTCAGCACATATTATACGTGATGCATTGCCTCTGTATTCTTTCTTTTAGACAAAATGCTTTATCTGTGGAATAGGAAATGACTACTTTGATACAGTGCCCCATGGCTTTGAAACGCACACACTACAGGAGCACAACTTGGCCAATTATTTGTGAGTACAGTAAAAATGAGCTTCTCGCTAACTGATGACCCTTGCAGCCTCTGCAAGTACCTGATTAGCTCTTTTGCATAAGTAAGAATCAGTACTGTTTGGCTTTGATATGTACTAATGCTGTCTGAATATATAATTCTCTGTTGATGGGAGCAGGGAATGAACACACTTCATTACCTTGTTTCCAGCTTGTGACACACCAAGTATGCATGAGCTAGGAGATGGAAACCAGGAACTTAGTATGTGGCTGTGGAGGTGGTGTGAAATTGAATGTGTTGTGTAAAGTAGAGAGGAACAGTATGACGTGGCCTGGAGACTGATGGAGAGAGTGCACAAGCAAAGGAGTAAGGCAAAAGAGGGAGAAGTTACAGTGGACAGAATATTTTAAGTGGAGTGCTGAGGCTGACTAAGAGAATCCGGGACAAAGGGAGGTAGGGAAACTGGAACGAGTAGCTAGAGAGGGGAGGGATAGACCAAGGGCATCAGATCCACCTTTGCAAAATCCAAGCAAAGCATCAGTGACCACTAAACTTGGTCTTTTTAAATTTAGAAACAAAACCATTTATCAGGTCCACAATCACTGTATCATACTGTTCCTCTCCTGTCAAATACTTACAAAAATCCAGTGCCAAAGTGTATTTTACACTAGTGCTGTCAGTATGAAGCAATGGATAGGTTGTGACTTTGTGTCTATAAACTAGCACTGTATGCGCACAAAGTAATGAGACTGTGAAGTCAAACATCCCTCTAAAGAACTTCCACTTGAAAAAAATGTTCAAACAAAATACATTAAAAGCACCATCATGTGGGATTTTGTTCTTACTTACAAAGTACTACACAAATAAAATACTATAGCGTACCTATTATGAGTGAAATTTTGAAATCATCATGCAGTGTCTGTCAGATCTCTTAAAACCTCAAGACTAATGTATTTTTAAAATTACAAGTTCTTTTCCGCTCATGTTGATCTTGAGTTACATACACTAGTAAAATATCCCTAACCTATAATTTCAATAAATCTCTTAATCATCTTCAGCGTTCTTATTTGTTGTGGGGAGAGGGAAAAAAAAGAAGTTCCAGTGAGTATTCTCTGTCTACTTCCAAATTGGTGCTCATGGGCAAGAAAATGTCTTTTATAATTTTCAGATTAGAAAGCTTAGAAAATACTCATTTAAACTGAGTTACTATTTACTGTAAATCAAACTGAATCTCTTGCATTTATCATACTATTCATCAAAAAATGAGTGAATGTCAACAGTGTCAGGAAAGTATATTTAACATGTTTGGGGATATTATCATAAATAGAACTCTGGAACTTGTAAGTCCATTAACAGAATTATCACTGTACATGCTGAAAAATATCCATCCCTCCGTGGGTTGCCTAATGTTTCCAAATATTGTATTCATAATAGCTGTTTCTTTGCTTGTAGGTTTTTTCTAATGTATCTTATTAACAAAGATGAAACAGAGCATACAGGACAGGTAGGTTGAACAACTCTATGAATGCCAACAGTTACTAAATAAGACTGATTCTAAAATAAAAATAATTCAGGGTTGGCAAAACTAACAGTATTCTAATTAATAGTTCCCTATATGGTATGTAACTTAACTCTCATTCTTCTAAACAATTCTTAGGACTTTAGTTGCTTAATGTTAGACTGAATATCAATTCTGTAGTACTTGTTTTTCATATTTTGTTGTCTGACCCGTTACTCTAAGTTGTTACTTCCACAAAATATGAATACAGACTATAAACAAAAGCTACACTCTTTATTTCTCACTTTTGTTTCTTTTTTTTAAATAGTCTTTGTCCTTTATTATTATGTATATGTAATCTTTTATATTTACATTTCTAGATAAGTCCATATAAAAGAACTTATGCATATATTTAAAATGAAACCCATGAGATAGGATTTCCCTCGAGGTTTCATCTTTACTGTTCTTTCAGCCTTCTGGTGCTTCCTTCAACTTCCTTTAAGTATATTTAAAGTCAGTAAAAAAAAATATATCAAATATACAGACTACTGGTTTTTGGGATTTTTTTATAGCGATAGTCTTGCAACTCACTAAGCAAATGTTTCCATGTTGCAGATCAGAAAACAAAAAACCTGAAGAGTATTATGTACATAGCCCTACAGATTTGGGTCAGAGGGATGATTTGCTATAAATCTATGTAGCTCTTTCTGAACTCTGACGTATGTACTGGGCAATTATAATCATCTTCTCATCATTGTCCAGTATCAGATTATATGTATTTGCTTTGCTATTTTTGAACAACCATTTGTCATTTGAGAATTTAATATTAAATGAGACTTTTTAAAAAGCCTTTTTAATTTGTATTTTCTTTTTTCTTGGCATGCATTGTGTCTTACTGTATTTACTGAAGCCAGATTTCTAGTAACTATTCGGTTTTGATACTGTTAGCTGATAATTTGAAAACTGAGAGTACTTCATACTACGTAACTTCTAGGGAAGTGCTTTAGCAATGGACTTGGCAGTGTTAGATTTATGATTTGTCTCAATGATTTTTAAGGTCTTTTCCAGCCTCAGTGATTCTATAATTTGTGTAACACACATCCTTTCTACCACAAAATTTGCCTCATAAATAGCACATTCAAGCGGTGTGATTAAAATGGAAATAAACTGACCTATCCTTTACTATTTTCTGGACTGCCTAGAGACAGACCCTTACCTGAACAAATGAACAGAAATAAAAAAAAAAACCCAAACAAACCCCAAAACAAACCACCCACCTCTGATTCAGAAAATATCATGCTTCTAAGAAATACCTTTAAAGGCCACTTTGTTTTATATATTCTGTGTAAGCATGTTTTGAAATAACTGATGCAGAAATTCAGCTGAATTTCTATGACAGAAATAGTCTGTTTACCCTGGTATTCGTCTTGTGAGCAGCTTTAACAGAGCTTTACAGTGCTCCTGGATGTGCAATAAGAGTTAAACAACCTGGTCCTCTTCTATGTGTTTCTCTACTGCTTTTTGACTAAATGACAAAAATCTAAAAGCTACTTTAAACTGATCAAAATCATTAACATGATTTTGTAGATTGATATACAATGACCTGATACACACAGAAGCAAAAAAATGAAGCAGTATATAAATAAAGAGAAAATAAGAGAAGTCATGCTTGGTGCTTTCTCTTTGAATCTAGTTAAATTATTTAAATTTTGATTCTTTCAGGAATCCTATGTATGGAAAATGTATCAAGAACGGTGCTGGGAGTTTTTTCCTGCTGGTGATTGCTTCCGAAAACAATATGAAGACCAGCTCAACTAAGCAGAGATGAGGATTTACAGGCAAAAATATGTCCATGTATTTCCCAACTCTTGTGGGAATGTCTAGCAAACTTCTGAAATCCCCAAAGCTGTGTGCTTTTAGGAGCACCAAAGCTCTGTTTTTAATGACCCAACTGCGCTTTTATTTTCTTGTGTATTTCTTTTGAGAACACTGGAGTAAAGAACAATGAAAAATAACAGCAACTCTGAAAAACAAACCAACCACTTGCACACACAAAAGATATCCCTGTACATAACATGCACACGTAAGAAGAGACTTAAGACAGCTTATTCTGAAACTGCCAGATGATGCCCTTGTCTATAAGATCACACGTGGGGTGACATGGTAGCAACACTCATTCAATCGGTTTATTTCTTCATCCTGGAAGGATCTATATGTAGTTCGCACAGCACTGTAAAAGATTGTTGTGGACACTAAGTTGTGGGGAAATAGTGCCTTACTATATGTGGGTTGAGCTATGCAGAAGATGAGTGCATGATGACATCATATTATTTTTTTTTCCTTTATGTCTTCCCTTTCTTCCAAGTTAATATTTATTTTGTGGTTTTGGTGGGTTTGGGAGGAAGGGATTTGATTGTGCACATCTTTTTAGTAAGACTGGAGTGTCTCAGGACAAGATTAGGTTATTCTCATCACGTTCATTTGACATTTACCTTCCTCTTTAGCTTTTGCTCTTGTTTTGGTAATGCTCTGATACAACACTGCAACTTTATGAAATCTTTGTATGAAAACAAGACGACTGCAAAAAACACTTTAAGAAGAAATGTTTCATTGCATGTTTATTATGCAAGTTTAAAACAATCAAAAAAACAGCCTTCAGAAGCAAGTTGATCAACATGAAAAAACATTCACAATAATTATATCCATAGTAATAAAGTGTTGTGGGCTTTATTGTACATCTGGAACAAGTGTCATCAGCCAACAATGTATATGTTATGAATTTGACAGTAGTTTTGGTTTCTTTTCTTTTTCTTTCTTTCATTTCAGCCACCTGTGATCAATAGTGGAGTTGAAGATTTTCTTGTTAACTTATTTTTTAAAAGCAGAGCTGAAGCAATATCCATTCAGGGACTCCATCAGTTGCATCACAAAACACCAATGATGTGTACATCACTCCATTTTGAGTCCTTTTCAATTGTAATGCCAGTCTTTACAAATAAAAAGAGAGATTCAGAATGGAAACAAGCTGGTTTTGGTAGCATTTGAGGTCTTTGTTATGGAGTCTTTTTATTAATCCCTGAATTAGTTATACCCACTTCAAAACAGGATTAAGCTGCTGTTTCCTTAATGAAAGGTTTTGATTTTTCTCCTGGACTTCTTGCTGTTCTATTGCTGCACCTCATTTGTTTACAGGACACATTTTTGTCATAAAATAAATTGACTGTATCAACATTTAGTTATAATTAAGAAAAAGAGAATGAAAGAAATAATTCTTTAAAAATACTAATTTGGTATTCTTGAAAGCCAGACTTTCAGTTCAGTGAATACTGCTACTCTGAAATTGGGATCCTGATGAGTATTATGGTAAAATTATCTCAAATTCTGCAATATTTGAGGCTGGAGGCTGGGAAGGCTAGTGGTGATGGGAGAGGCAGGTATAGGAGCTACAGTTTGTATTCACCACCACCACGCACTCTGGAGTATTATTTCCAGCTTTGTTTCCTCCCTGTTTGGCACAACTCCATAAAATACATTTGATCAACCTTTCTGGGATTTGCATATAAGATTTCAAAATGAGAGATTGCAATAATATTCCTTTTTGGGTGTATAGCATGAGAATAGTTGCTGTTTGACATGCAAGCGCACACACTATTTTGGTTTTGCACTTTTTTTGAGATTGATTCTGACTAATATTTCAAGATCCCTTTGTCTTGAAAACAAATTAAAATGGACTTTTTAGGCCAATACCAGAATAAAAGTGACATATTTCTTTAACCTCAACTTCCATGTCACAAAGCTTCTGGGGCATCCTCCCTGTTGAATCCAGTATGGTATTTAACAAATATACATGAAACCACACTTAAACACTAGAGTCTTTCAGGATGAGATCTACTGGTTGTATGGTGATGCAAAAAGTTTCTTTTTACATATGAAAAATCTTAATTTATTAAATTAATTATAGCTTTCACAGAAGCAAATTTCTACAACTAAGAACTGGTTCATGAGAGTTTGCAAGATTAGTGTTCACTGATGAAAAAGGATGGGAGCTGGCTTTGGCAGACCTTCAGAGCCTGGTTCATACTCTCCGCTTTGCAATGGCTGTAGACTCTCTGTGAGTCCCTGAAACTTGGCATTTCTTGTTTCATTTGGTGCACAGAAGTTGCCTTTTTCTTAACACTTAGCACATCTGATTCAAGAAAATAAACTCACTTTGAAATTAAAAATAAGAGTACATGTCATAGGAGACTGGTTTATTTTAAAAGTATGTGTTTCCTGTGACTCATATTATTTCTGAAACTAATGCATCCTTTTAACAAGATAATATTATTCAGGCAAGCCACATACTAGATGATACAGACTGTGATGTCCAAGTTATAATACTCTGTTTTAGACATAGACAAGTTGAAGACAAATCTTCAATTTTATTAAAAATTACTGAACTTACTGTGACAAACACAACTTTTATTGAACTTTTGTGTTCAAATCCAAGAAATTCAATTAGAGATCTTATGTATGGGATATTTAAGATAAGGTTATACTTACACACTTATTTGTGCATGCTAATGTTTCGATCAACTGTTTGCTGAATTTACTGATTGTGTCAGTAAAACTAACTTTCAGGGGGACCTCTTGCCCTTTATTGAAGACAGCAGAGAAAGAATTGTTGCTGTTTACCTGTCAGTGCCAAGAGAATTGAAAAGAGGTTTAAAACTGGTGATCCTAGTGCATACCCATTGATTTCAGCAAAGAAACAAAGGAATGAATGGTGATGGAAAAGCAAAGTAAGAGTTGGGAAAGCAGTTGAGGTGTGATTCATTTGTGGAAGTTGTTACCCATTTATATATTGTTCCACTTAGAACTGAGTTACCTGATATTTGTTACACCCTCTTCCAGTACTCTATACTTATATCTTTCCTTTCCCTAAAAGCTTGAAGCTTGTCTTACGGGGTTTTTTTTCAGCCAATCACAGAAAATAGGACACGAGAAAAGGACGCTGTAATATCCTTGGCCTATGCATTACTACAAGACTAATCCCTTTGTCTTGCCCAACAATGTGTTATTTAAATCGTTGTTGAATATTTTAATTTGCAGTATCTTCCTACTGTTACAGGACTCTTACTAATGAAGGATAGCATTTTGCTTATGAATTCAATAATATTTCTGTCTATAACTCTTTTGATAACATTCCTACCATCTTCAGAGATGCTGAATTCTGTTTACTTACACAATCACCTGTAAGTATTCATAAGATATAGTATTTTCCAGGATTTTTGAATTTTCTAAAGTAAAGTATGTATTTATTTTTTTGTTTACTAGCCAAAACAAATATAACTCTGGTATCCAGAACAGTCTCTGTCAAAGGATAAGTCATCTGTCACAGAGAACATGGGTGGGAATGTTCTTTGATTAAATCTGTCTAATATTGATGCTTATAAATGTGGCTCCTTCAATTTCTGTTCTTAAGTGATAGCCACTTTTATTTGTGTATTTATTTGCTTTTTTTTCCCCAGTTTTCTTCAGCTTTTCTAAAACCATGCTAAACCGTAGAGGCTTGATTGCTAATGTAATTTCAAATTATATCATCTTACAGTCACATCTTACTCAAGATTTGCAAGATATTTAAGCACAAACATCCATTTATAGGTGAGCTATTTTGTTTTGCAGCTGCCTCATTTCTTTGTCTTTTTTTTTTTTAAGGTCCTTTTTATGTGTTTTCTGGATTAGAGTTTTTCTCTGTCGTCTGCACAGTATTTTAACTGGGCTTATGCAATTTCTTCTATCTGGTTTTCTTCACCTTTTTGTTTGTTTGGATATTCGTTTAGGCAAAAAGATGTGTGTCTCATAGGTGGTAAAGAAGAGCCTTGTCAGCAGTTATTGAAGATCTCTGGCAGCCAAACAGCATAATTGTGCCGTGCCAATGGAGGTCAAGAGTTGAGGCAAATTTTGGTACGAACAGCTTGCTTTTGTAATAACATAGCTATGAGCTGATCTGCAGTTACAAAGGTTTGACCTACACATTTTGGTGTTGGATGGGCAGATCTGAGCTAAAGTTCTCCTAAAAAAAAATTTGAAATTTATGGGAAAACCCTCAAAAATCCACAGTTACAACAAACTAAAAGACTTTACTATCAATCCATTGTGTAAATGCTCCAAGTTTGCACGCAATATGTAGTTGCTGTGTTGCTTAGTGCAAATTGCAGTTACATAGACTAAATACCTCTCTCTTAGACGTATGTTAAATAAAGATGTTTGGAACACTAAAAGGTGGCTAAATACAGCTGGATCGTGCAGTTAGAGATCTGAAGTAAATCAAAAGGTTTTGATTAATTGTTCTTGTGCTACTAAGATAGAAGGAAACTGGATGAGTTGAGTGCATTGAAAAATACAGAACCACCCAGGGAGAGTTAGAGCATGGAAAGTCCTGAAGTAAAAGAAAAAATGACTAGATGAAAAAAAAATGTGATAAAGAATATCAAACAAAGGTATTTCTTTCATCTGTTGAGCAGTGGGATTTTTGACATGAAACATTCTATCTGGGTACCCAGTGCCCTGAGCCAGAAGCCAGGGATGGGGAGCAGAGCGAAGCTACCACAATTTAGGAGGTAGCAGTTAGAGACCTGCTCAGCCAATTAGACATCAACAAGCCTATGGGGCCAGATGGTGTTCACCCCAGGATACTGAGGGAACTGGCAGAGGTGCTTGCCAAACCCTTTTCCATCATCTACCAACAGTGCTAGCTGACTGGGGAGGTTCCACTTGGCTGGCGAGTGGCGAATGTGATGCCCATTTACAAGAAGGGTTGGAGGGAGGATCCAAGGAACTACAGGCCTGTCAGTCTGACCTCAGTGCCGGGGAAGGTGATGGAGCCGATCATCTTGAGTGCTATTACACAGCACATACAGGCCAACCAGGGGATCAGGCCCAGTCAACATGGGTATCTCCTTCTATGACAAGGTGACCTGCTTAGTAGATGAGGGAAAGGATGTGGATGTGGTGCACCTGGACTTCAGTAAAGTCTTTGACACCATTTCCCACAGCATTCTGCTTGAGAAACTGGCTGCCCAAATGGCCTGGACATGCACACTCTCTGCTGGGTTAAAAACTGGCTGGATGGCCAGGCTCAAAGAGTGGTGGTGAATAGAGTTAAACAAGTGGCGTTCCTTGGGGCTTAGTGTTGGGGCCAGTCCTGTTTAACATCTTTATCAGTGATCTGGATGAAGGGATCTAGTGGACCCTCAGTAAATTAACGGATTATGCAAAGCTGGGTGGAAGTATTGATTTGCTTGAGG